CATTAGAGCCGGGGTTCCTTCCGTCTTTCTGCTGGCCTGGTTCGCTGTGTCAGCCGGGCCCTCGCCAGCTCCCTCAGGTCCCTTGGATCCTGCAGCGTTTATTATTGTCATTTCTGGGGGGACAACATCTGATGGGGACGTGGCGCCACTTCTTGCTCTTTCTTTCGGTGATGGAGTCCTTTCCCAGAATCCCCCTACTACTTCTCACATGTCATTGGCCAGAATTGTGTCATGTGCCCTTGGACTTCTCACACCTTATTGGCCAGAGTTGTGTCACATGCTTTTGGACTTCTCACACCTCATTGGCCAGGGGTGTGTCACATGCCTCCCAAAACCAATCACAGGCAAGGAGGGTGGAGTTTTAACGGAGCTAGTGAGGCTGGTGGTGGTTGGAGGGCGGTGGCTTTTCGGAAGAAAACCTTAGCAGTATTAGAAAAGAGGAAAATGTGTGTATTGGCGTGTAGTTGAACGGGCAGTGGGAAACCAGTTATGGATGCCTCAGAGCAGAAGGATGCTAGGTCACAGTCCTGGGATGATGGCGGAGTGGCCTTGGGATGGGTTGAGCTCAGGGGAGAGATGAGACCCCATGTAGGGGCTGCAGAGTCAGAGTTCCATCATTCAGCTAAATGATACCTTCAGGGCTCTCTGAGCTCCAAGAGCAACGTTGAAAACCAAATGCTGTCAATCCTAATATGAGAAATGCTGAGAACACGAACATGGAGATTGAAAACAGACAATGTGTGTCATGTTAACCTGTGAGCCTGTGTGAGATGGCTTGTAAATGTCATCTTGGGAAAGTTGCCTTTAGAGGTTAATATTTTTACTGTCAAATTGCACTTTTGCAATGATATTACTCTAGTATAGAGGCAAAAAGGGGCTCTCCAGATGGCCAAGGGCGGAGGCATGGCCAGGTTGCCAGAGCCTGCTAAGCTTCGGCTAGGGCATTGGATTGTATGTGGCATCGATAGGAAATTTCTGGAGAGGACGGAGGGGAGCAGCAGAGGAAGGCGCCCGGCCGGCAGTCAGGTGCTGTCTTGCAGTGTCACACGCAGCACCTGGGCAGGTGGCAGGCCCTTTCTCTACGTTGGATTCAGCACTGGTAAAGGGTGAATCATGACACCTGCTTCATGAGTTATTGTGGAGTTTAATGCACTGAGAAGCAAGAAAGAGCGTTGCCCCAGTGAGGCCCTGTGCAAATATGAGTTACCTTCTGCAGTCAATTTTCATAGTTTAAGGTGAGTGTAAAGTTGCTGTGAACCCTGAACTGGCAAATACTGAACCATTGCTTCTAGGAGACACACACACACACACACACACACACACACACACACACACACTCTCTCTCTCTCTCTCTCTCTCTCTCTCTCTCTTATTATAATCTATCATCTGAAATCCTAAAAACATCTCATCTTGTTAGATTTTATTTTCTTTATTTTACAAAAGAGAAATCCAAGTTCCAAAAGGTTAAGTGACTTGACTGAGGCTGCCCCACTAACAAGTGCCAGAGTAAGGATTTGAACCCTGTCTACCTGGCCCCAGAGTCAAAACTTCCGGCACTGCACTGTACTGCCCCTATCCATGCTCTGACATTTTTCTTAATGCCATTAACATGTTAAAGTCAGCGCCCCTCCCTGCTTACCCAGACCCACATTACTCCTGGTAGGGCACAGGGATAAGTGGGATCCAGAGGAAACAATTCTGACATATTCACACAATTAGCACTGTGAAGTGGAGGTGTCAAGGATCTCTCTCCATACCAGAGTTGAGGCAAGAAAGCTGAGCGAGGCCTTGTGTGACCTCAGCGGGGACATGCACGTGTGGCAGGTGATTAAATGTTTTCACCACCTTTGCGTTTCCACAGATGACCACAAAGGCGCTCCGTGTATTGATATGGGGGCTACAAATAACTTCTAGGGAGTAGGTGAATTCACAAATGCAGACTCCACAAATAAAATGAAGGTCAACTGTGACTGCTGAGACCATGGAGTGAGGGACTGTAGTTTCCGTATATCCAATAGATCTTCTGTATATTGACACACACTTCAGATCTGAGGACGCAATATAGTTAGACTTATTTAAATTGTTGTACTCAAATTACTTTAAAATGGGGAATTGGGCAGGGTGTGGTGGCTCACTCCTTATAATCTCAGCACTTGGGCCAAGTGCTGGGCCAAGGCAGGAAGATCACTTGAGGCTAGGAGTTGGAGACCAATCTAGGCAACAAAGCAAAATCCTGTCTCTACCAAAGGGGAGAAAAAAAATTAATGGAGTATGGGGGCCCATATCTGTAGTCCCAGCTGCTCGGGAGGCTAAGGCAGGAGGCTCTCTTGAGCCTGGGAGGTCAAGGCTGCAGTGAACTACGATCGCAACACTGCACTCCAGCCTAGGCAACAGAGTGAGACCCTGTCTCTAAAAAGAATAAAATAAGCTGAAAACAGGGGACACGTAGTTTTTTTTTAGGGGTCTGCATGTTTCAGGAGAAATACAGAATTGCTGGACCTCCTTGTTATTTTTTTCCATATGGACTATACATCAATTCCTGAAAGATGGGACAGGTTTAATTCTGTGTAAGTTCTGAAAGGATGCAGAAAGTCACTACATATCATTTCATTTCTAACACACAGAAAGGGCCTCGCATTTTCCAAAACTGACAGTCTTCCAGTGAAACATGATTCAGAGTGGTATGAAGTGGTATTGAGGGTGGGTGGGTAGCGATAAACGAGGAAGTACCAAAATTTTCTGCAATTGCAGGAGGATTTCATAAAAAGGATTCATAAAAAAGGTAAGATAAAGAAAACACATATACACACACAAAAGGCAAATTATGGTAATGGTTTATTTGCCAGGATTGAGGTTTGCAGCATGGAAGGTAGAATCAGAAACATTCCCCAGTAGGTGATGACCACTTGAATCAGGGAGAACCGAGAGTGGAATTCCCTCCTGCCTCCACCACAGGCTTCTGAGTAATCAGAAACCTCATTCTCTAGAGGTGGTGTGCATGTCACAGGCAGAGCAGGTGCAGAGTCCAGGGGAAACTGAGGGTCTTACTGAACCTTCCATTTCTTCCAGTGCAGTGCCTGTGGGAAGGCAGGGATTTCTCTTAATGGGGTCTCCACGCCCTTTCTAAGTGCCTTGATGGATGGCAGGCAGACTTGGCATTGTGTCAGCATCATAGAATTTAAAATTAAAGAAAATGATCCTGCATTTTACTTTCTCCTCTAAATTGAGATCTTGTTCTGATTGTTCTCTTTATAATCCTGGGCATAATGATGCAGATTTAAGTCCTTCCAACATGTCCTAAAAAATAGCGAATTTGCTTGGTTCATTATTTTTCTTCTCTCTCCTTTTAAAAGTAAAGCAAAGAGAGGAGTAGGAGAATTGGATTTTTTTTTTAAGTTAAAGAAATGCCATTTTCAGCTTTCACTGGAGTTTTGGGGATGAGAGATAAATTAGCTACCTCTCCCCACCACCATCTTAGGGCAGATTGGCTGCTCAGAACAGTAGAGCCTGGAGGGAAAAGGACTTTGAACTCTAAGTTCTGACATATTAGGAAATTGTCTCCAAAAATGAATTTAGACAGACTCATGCAACTCTCCAGCAATCTCTGGTCATTGCTTTGTGGACCAGAATTCCCAAGCCAAAGACACTATGATTTCAGCTAATCTCCCAGTTAGTGGCAGAGGTTAATTATACTTTAACCATTCCTAGAGACATTATTGCCATTGTGAAGTGGAAGTGACAAGGATCCGTCTCTGTGACTGGGGAATGCAAAATAAGTCTCCTATTAGCTATTTTCATACTGTTCTTCCTTGATTTCAACATGTAGTGAACTACAGAGCTGTTGGGTAGTGGAAAACTTGTCTTGTGCTTTTCATGGGAGAACACTCATATTAGTTCTGTTGCGGGGGGTGATGAGAGTTCATCTCAAACCACTTGGAGGTTTACTCTTTGAGTTCAGATGTTGGCACTCTGACTTGTACTTGAGCCGTTCAGCTGACAATGTCATGCGGCAGCTGGGCATGTGTGTCTGGGGCTTGAATGGAAACTTGAGTTGTAGGTACAAATTCAGGTGAGGAAGAGAAGCATCAAGAATAAGTCCCAGTTTGTGACTTACAAGATTGGTGATGTGGTGACAGCACTGGTTGAGAGGGGAGCCCTGCCAACAGTCTAAGCCTTAGGCTGCCCCAGGCAGTGTGAACAGGAAGGTCACACACTACTTGTTACCTTGTGTCTTATGCAAATGAAGTGATTCATAACTCCTCCTTCTTCTCTCCACCTTGACACATAAATGATGGTCCAGAAGAGGAAGTCAGCAACAATTTATATGTTGATCCTGAAGACGTGAAGCGAAACGGGAATTTAGATTATCTAACACTTAACCTGCTAAACCAAGAACATTAGAGAGGGTACCCTCAAGTGCTGAGTCAAAAGACCATGATGATATGCTACTTTCCTACCTTCATTCAACACAATTCTGGTTTAATGGGACAAAAATAATTATATCTGTGTTTTGAATGCATTTCACAAGTACTTTGCCGACCAGGATTTTAATCTAGTGCAAGACTTTCTTGATTTTTCAGAAGATCTTCTTTATAGATTGGGTCAGGTGGTTTTTGTAGTAGCATAAAAACCTTTTATGCATCTTCACATACGGTGAAAGAGTGAAGTATGACTCACTTGGATTTTGATTAGAGGTGATTTGAGTTCATAAAAAAATAAGATAAAGAAAACACACACATGCAAAAGGCAACAGAGGTTATATAATGCCATTAAATTATGTTAGTGAGCTTACTTGTCAGTATTTTGTAATACAAAATAGTTTTCTTGGAGTCAATTTGTCAGTATTTGTCACTAATTGTTGCCTACAGATTACCTTTTCCAAAGTACTGTTCATCTGGGCATTTTGGTATCTAATGAATCAGTGCTGTGCTGTCTATGTGGTCGAGTCTGGACCACAAATGCTGGTGCTTTTTCTCCTCATTTCTTCCTCTTCCTCATAGGTTTCCAACACCTGTGATTCTGTTTTTGTGAATGGGAAGGAAATGAAGAGCAAGGTGGACACAATTGTGAACTTCACCCACCAGCACTTCACCTCCCAGTTCGAGGTCACTGTCTGGGTTCCCAGACTCCCCCTGCAGATTGAGATCTCAGACACAGAGCTGAGCCAGATTAAGGGCTGGAGGATCCCGGTGGCCACCAACAGGAGGTAAGAACTTGGAGAGAGGACTGTTCATCTGATGCTGTTTGTGGGAGGCTAATTGGCCCTCAGATGCCCAAGCCCCAGGGAAGCAACATCCACAGTGGGTAGCAATGGTCTAGGCTTGGGGTTCAAATGGATCTGACTTGGGTACTTACTAGCACTTTGACATGTGGAAATTATAATGAAGATAATACTCATAATAATAGTGATAAAGTGATGATAATAATAATAGTAACAACCCCGGAGTAGTGGCTAGGATTCCGTAAAAAGATTTAGTACATAATAACACCTAGCACAAGACCTGGCGTTTAGGATATAGCTGTTTTCCATTCCCTATTTCACTATTGCTCATCCTTATCTTTTTTTTTTTTTCGAGTTGGGATCTCACTCTGTCATCTGGGCTAGAGAGTCGTGGCTTGATCTTGGCTCACCATGGCCTCGACTTCCTGGACTCAGATGATCCTTCCATCTCAACCTCCCAAGTAGCTGGAACTACAGGCATGTGCCAGAATGCCTGGCTAATTATTTTTTTGATTCTTTTTTTTTTTTTCCTGGAAGACAAAGTCTTGTTATGTTGCCTAGGCTGGTCTTGAACTCCTGGACTCAAGCGATCTTCTCATCTCGGCCTCCCAAAGTCCTACGTGTGAGCCGCTGCACCCGGCCTATCTTTTTACTCTCAGTTTCCCTGTGTGTAAGCATCAGCCATCATCTGTGGAGCACAGTAATGAGGCTACTTGAGTTTGAACCCTTGCTTTACCACTGTGGCTATGTGACACTAGACATGTGACCTAACCTATCTATTTCTATGTTTCCTTATCTATAAATTAGGGATGATAATGTGACTGAAGAGTTGTTCGAGGAATTCAGTGAAAGAATGCATACTGTAGTAGACAGTTGTAAAGATGACTCCTACCCCCAGGATTTCTTTTTTCACTTATTCAAGCACTAATCTGATAGTGCTGGGAGGGGGGTCTTACAGATATAACTGTAATCCCAAACCAGTGGACCTTAAGATATGGAAATTATCCATAAGGTGATTAAGACCCATCAGATATGCCCTTTGAAAGCAGAGAGGTCTCTCCAGCTAGTAACAGAAGTTGAATTTGGGGAGATTTGAGATGAGAACAACCTGATGGGGTGTTGCTGACACTGAAGATGAATTGAACCACCTGCAAAGGAAGGTGGGTGGTCTATAGGAGCCAAGAGCGACCTCTGCATGACAGCCAGCCAGAAGAGGGGGCCTCAATCCTACAACCGTAAGGGCTGAATTCTGCCAGCAGCTGGGCTGATCTTAGAAGTGGAGTCTTCCCTGGAACTTCCTGAGAAGAGCCCAGACTGGTTGGCACCTTGATTTTAGCCTTGTGAGTCCTGCCTGGACTACTGACCTGCAGAACTGTGAGTGTGTTTTTGTGGGTGCTATTTTAAACCATGAAGTTTGTGGTAATTTGTGTGTAGCAATAAAAAACTAATGTAGATATTGTGACCCAGTGGTGCACTGTAGACATAACACATCTCTCAATGTGAGCAGGCTTTTGGAATCAGACAGTGGAGGCTGGAAGTGTTTTGAAGAACATAATGGAAAAGCCTTGAGTGCCTTGAAGAGACTATTTGTAGACACATGGATGTTAAAAATTTTGCACAGAGCTGGGTCTGGTGGCTCAAACCTGTAATCCCAGCACTTTGGAGACCAAAGTGAGAGGATTGCCTGAGCCGAGGGGTTCAAGACCAGCCTGGGCAACTTGGCAAGACCTCATCTCTACAATAAATAAAAAAATTAGCCGGGCATGACGGTGTGCATCTTTAGTTCCAGCAACTTGGAAGGCTGAGGCGGAAGGATTGCCTGAGCCCAGCAGGTTGAGACTGCGGTGGCCATGAGCATGCCACTACACTTCATCCTGGAGTGACAGAGTGAGACTCTGACTCAAAAAAAAAAAAAAAAAATGTGTTGCAGAATGCGTCGCACAGAATGCATGAGGAGCATTGCAGAAAAATCCTGAATCACCTTATGTGAAGCCTACATTGTTGTGAACAAATGGTTAGCAGACATCTGAACTTTAAAAACATTGCCCGAGGGAGGTGAGGAAGGTAGACTTCTCTCAGGTGGTGACAGAATGCACAGCAACATTTCCTGCAGCTACCTCAGAAGCCAATGGACATTCAACTGAGGAGATTTCCAGGCAAACTGTTGAACATGCACCTTGGATTCTTCTTGCTGCTTATAGTAAAATGTAAGAGGAGAGATACATTGGGGAGAGCTCTTAAACAAAACGGAGCAAGGACCTGATGTTGAAATTTTCAGCATATCCAGATGGCAAATGATGGAGTAATTAAGAGATTCACTGTCAGAAAAATGTGCTTGACTCACTGAGGGTGAGTCTCCAAAACTCTTAGCTGAAACTTGAAGGGTAGTCCAGGGAAATGGTCCTGCCCTGCCTGTCTGGTATCTCCTGCCCTCTACCCAGTCCAGGGATGTGCATCTGCTCCTGGAGACCAAACCAGCAGGGTTCAAGTGGGAGTTCTGACAGTACCAGGGAAAATCTGGATCAGAATAGCACTGACAGGTGCTAGACCCAAATTGACATCGGAACCAAAGTACACAAAAGTGGGCCAGGACCTGTGCACCAAAACACAACAAATTTAACTAGGTAGATTTCATTGAGATCCAGGGTTTCCTATTATAATGTACAGAATGTCCAGAATACAATTGAAAACCACATACTAGGAATAAAATGAGAAAAGGCAATCAACTGTTGCCAATGCCCAGATAAATCAAATGTTAGAATTATCTGACAAGGGTTTTAAAGCAGTCATACAAATTAAATTTTAAAAAATTTTTAATAAGAAAATTACAAGTAGCCTTGAAACCAATAAAAGACTAGAAAGTCTCAGCAAGAAAATACAATTCATAAGAAAGAACCCCATATAAATAATAGAACCGAATAATTTATTGCTGGGAAAAACCACTTAGTAGACTCAATAGTACAACCGAGTACAGTAGAAATGGCAGAGTATGAAATCAGTGAACTTCAGAATGAACAATAGAATTTACTCAACTTGAATAGCACAGAAAGTAGGAACTAAGAGCAGAACATTAGGGCCTCTTGGGGGAGTAACAAAATCTTCAAATCCTGTGACTAGAATCTGAGAAGGAGGGAGACAGGAGGGCATTATTTGGAGAAATAATGACTGAAATCCTCTCATATTTGGCAAAATATATAAATTTAGAGAGTTAAAAAGCTTAGGTAACCACAGACTTGATAAACCCCCCAAAATCCATGTCAAGACACAACATAATTAAACTTCTGAAAAATAAAGACAAAGAAAAACTCTTAAAAATATCTAGAGAGAAATGATACCCATTTGGATGGCAATGAATTTCTCACCTGAAATCATAGAGGCCAGAGGACTTGGCACAAAATTTTGCAACTGCTGAAAGAGAAGAACCATCAGTTTTGAATTATATTAATGGCAAAAGTATTCTTCGGTAATGAAGGGGGGAATAAAGACAGTCTTAAATGAAGAAAAACAGAGAATTTGTTTTCAGGAGACCTAACTTAAAAGAATGGCTAACGGAACCTCTCTAAACAAAGAGAAAATGGTTAGAGAAAAAGATGGAACTTCAGAAAAGAAAGAATGACAGAATGGGTCAAACCAGTGTTAAATAGGATAGATGCTTCTCTGCATCCATTTCTTAAAATATGTTTGGTGGCTGAAGCAAAACTTATAACATCATTTGATGTGGTACTTAGGGCATGTAGATAGAAAAAAATATTTAAAACAAAATTCTTAAAAGTGAGAAGGTAAAGGGACCTACATGGAACTAAGGTATTTACATCCAAAGTGGTAAAACTCTGACATCATTAGGCTCTAATACATTATGTGTGTATGTTAAATTGCATACATACATAGATGCATGCAAATAAGTGCTTGTAAGACTGGTGAAATAAGAATATCCAATGCCAATTTCCTAGTTTAGATATTGTCCTGTAGTTAGGAGGATGTTAACTCTGGGAGCTAGGTAAAGAGGATATGAATCGCCCATTATGGTTTTTTATTTTTTATTAAACTTGCAGTGAATTTGTAACTATTTTAAAATTAAAAGTTTGAAAAATGAATAGAATGAAATCTGACTTAAAATAACAGGATTGTTTTGTTTCATTAATATAGCATTTTTTAAATTCCATGGATTCACTGACCATTTTTATAATATGGCCACTTTTTCATGAAACATGTACTTGATAGTGTTCTTTGAGTTTTACCTATTTATTTAAAGGAAACTTAATATCACTAGCCCAAATGGACAACTAGTATCATTTATCATAAAATAAATTTATGATACAAAATTAATACAAAGAAAATAAAACAGTGTATTACATTCTGAGTAGATACTTCAAGGAACAGAAAGTAACAGGTGTCAGAGAAGTTTTAGAGACATCCTCACCCTGAGCAGAGAGACATTCCCTGAGATATATTTAGAAGGACTGAAAAATAAAATGAGAATAACTTTTTAATATGTCATTCAATGGTTTTTTAAAATTGAAAGCGAGGTTCTCTCTCTTTCCACTTAACATCATCTCTCTTACCCACAGAGATATTCACCCCTGGCTGTGGGAAACCCTGAATTGCTATTGTGCTGGTGAACATCCTCCCTGTCACTTCAGAGATGGTTCTCAGACCTCTCAGAAAGGCAGAAGGGCATGTTGTAAAAAGAAAGCGGGCTTCTGAAATCATGTGGAGCTGGGTCCACATCTGCTAATTAGCAATTGTCTAGGCTGCACGTTAGACACCCTCCAAGCTTTGGTTCCTTCATGCAAAAATAGGAATATGTTTTATATGCTCTGCTGAGATGAATGGACCTAGCTCTAGAAAGGGAGAGGAGGCCAGACTCAGTGGCTCAGCCTGTAATCCCAGCGCTTTGGGAGGCCGAGGCGAGTGGATTGCCTGAGCCCGCGGGTTCGAGACCTGCCCGGGCAACTTGGCGAGACCTTGTCGCTACAATAAATCAAAAATTAGCCAAAGTGGTAGTGTGCGCCTGTAGTTCCGGCTACTTGGAAGGCTGAGGCGGAAGGATCGTCGGAACCCAGCAGGGCGAGGCTGTGGTGGCCGGGAGCGTGCAACTGCACTCCAGGCTGGGCACCAGAGTGAGACTCCAACTCAAAAAAAAAAAAAAAACGGAGCGGGGGGAGAGGACACGGAGGGCCAGCCTGGGCATGGAACCCACCTCTGCAAGTGACCAGCTGTTGTGTGGCCCTGGCTGAGGATGCCCTCCTCTCCATGCTGGATTTCCTCGTTGGGCAGATCAGGGAAATAAGGGACAACCTCACTCTTTGGGTTCTGCAAAGATGATAAGAGTGAACTTGTGTGTCTGTGTGGTTGATGAGTGTCATTGCTCGTCCAGCCATACAACACGTGGAATGAAGCACACAGTGTGTCAGCACATGTGAGTCATGGCTCCTTCTCCCCGACACCATCCCTGCCACTGAGAGTTCACCGAGGGCCCACTGGTCAGCAGCCACCAAAGCAAGTTCTAATCCAAGGATACAGGGCAGGTTCTTCTAGAGGGGAAGGTTGAATTATAGAGCCAGAGAGACTTTCTCAGGCTGGATTGTGGAGCGGTGGGGGTCAGAGGAGAGCAGGTGCCAGGGTGAGAGGAAGAGCTGAAGCCCTCAGGAAGGAAAGGAGAAGCCAGGAGGGAGCGACAGGAGAGGCATTTCAGGTGTTTCTGTGATAACATGAGCAGCTTCGCTCAGAGAGCAGTGACTGTAGACCAGGGCAGGAAGTGGGAGGAGAGAGTTCTCTGGCAACTTTCAGGACCATAAACTCAGGAACTACTTCTTCAGAGACCAGAGGGTCTCAGCTGCTGAGGATGGTGGGTATTGGAATTATTCTAAGCCGATGGTTTCTGTCCGTCTTTGTGTAACACATCTCACACCTCGTTCTTCATCTGCAACTGTAACGGAAAAGAGGGGCAGTCATTCCTATGTCATTTCCAAGGGTAGGTAGCTGAGCCTGAGACAGGGCAGATAATCTGGCTGGAGGCCTAACAGGAGGAGTAGAAACAGGAATCCATACAGCTCTCTTGACGAAGATCTCACATTCACGCCACAGACCTAAGGTTCTGCATCAGCCCTGTAAGGGGAATGGTTCTAAAATGACCCATTTTTAGAACACCGAAGCCAGAGCCTCAACCTCTGCCTCTCTGGGGCCTGAGTCTTCTATAACTCTGGGTTAGGAAGCCAGAAGCTGCCCTTGCAGTCCATGTTGCAAGTATAAATCATCCGTTCGCACACAGGGTCACCAAAACATGCTAGTTGAATGAATGAATGAACAGGGAACGGCTAACAACTGAACAGGTCTGGCAGAAGAAAAGGCATTTCATTTTCTTCTGTACGGTCACGTAGAATCCGAAAAACAAGGGATCTAGAACTTCTTAACGAGGGGGATGTTTATTCTGTCTTGGTTCCTTGTGCTCCAGGCCCACCCGAGAGAGTGAGGACGAGGATGATGAGGAGAAGAAGGGACGAGGCTGCTCTCTACAGTACCAGCATGCCACGGTGCGCGTCCTCACCCAGTTTGTGGCTGAGTCGCCCGACTTAGGGCAGCTGACCTACATGCTGGGTCCCGACTGGCAGTTTGACATCACTGACCTCGTGACTGAGTTCCTGAAGGTGGAGGAGCCCAAAGTCGCTCAGTTACAGGATGGCAGGACCCTGGCTGGTCGGGAGCCAGGAATCACCACCGTGCAGGTACAGGCCGCCCACCCTGCCCCTTCACCTAATGCTGGTCTGTGTGGATGAGTGTCCAGGTGCATGCGTGTGCACACAAACATGCATATGAGCATGTGTCAGTGTGCATGGATTGTGTTTGAGTGTGTAAGAGAATCATGAGAAGCAATACTCACCAGTTTAAAAAACTCAAACTCAGCTTAATTTTTACATTTTACAGTTGAGAAAAATATTTGATCTCTTTTACCAGAGAAAGTTAAATGAAACGCGTAGTGTATGTGACCTTTCCCAATGATGTCCTCTTTTTCGTATATCACCCACAGGTTTTTTCCTCCCAACATTGGAGCCTAACCATTTAGCTATATTATACTGTATACAATAGATTTAAAAAATTGTAAAAGATTCATAGTTAAATTTTCTCTATTTTTTCAAAGTTATTGTAAAACTGTTCTCTAGTCAGTTTTGGCAGGATAATTATGCAGAAATGATGCAGTATATTTTATTTATACAAATTTAAAATGTTTCTGCTGATAGTTAATTAAGTCATATTTCAGTGGAGCCAAAGCTAACTTTTGATAAAACTGGATTAAACATGTTGCATTCTGCAAGTGTTTTCTATTTTTGTATAACAAATTACTACACACTTAGCAGTTTGAAAAACATCCATTTGTTAGCTCATGTTTCTGGGGGTCAGGAATCCAGGTGGGCTCATCTGGGTTCTATTCTCAGGGTGCCACGAGGCTGGAATCAAGGTCCTGGCTGGGCTGGGCTCATGACTGGGGGGTTTGGGGAAAGAATTGGCATCCAAGCCCATTCAAAACAATCTTCTCCCTGTCTTAAGGCCAACTGTGCCATGTAACATAACCTAGTCAAGAGATTGCTTTCTCATGTCCACAGGAGTCAGAGATTAGGGCAGGAAATCTTTGGGGGAGCTTTCTAGAAATTCTGCCTGCCACATATTCCTCTCCAGGACTTAAGACACCCCTGGCTGTATACCAGATGTTGAATAGGAAGGATAGTGACTCCTTGGGACATTAAGATTTCCCTTCCCACTGTTTATGGTTTATGCAATGATGGCCCAATGGCCCAAAGGTCAGTATTGTCCCATAATGAACATCTACTGACTCACCAGAAGGAATATGAGGAGGAGAGGATGGCTAAGCACTATTTCCTTAAAGTGTTTTACCACTGTTCTGCCATTTTCAAAGCCTAAATACTAGGTGTTGGGAAAATGTTACTCTTGGAGCATTCAGTATCTGGATGGACTGTTTTTAGTTATTGCCTCTAAGTTAATTCAGTCTTTTCTCAGAAAAGATACCACTATATTGACCTAGTATGAATCAAAGGAAAGAAAATGGACCAAGATGATCTTTATAAAACTCCTTCAATTGTCAAGCATGATTGAACAACGGTATAACACTTATTTAAACAGTTCCCATAAGTGCATTCATGAGCAGAGGACTGGGAGAACACTTTCGTAGAAACGTCACTTAGGGAGTGTACAGTGCTTATGTGGAGCAAACACAAGCTTCTCCACCTACTTTTCAGGTCCTCTCCCCTCTCTCTGACTCTATCTTGGCTGAGAAGACAGTGATCGTCCTGGATGACCGAGTCACCATTGCAGAGCTAGGTGTGCAGCTCGTGGCTGGCGTGTCTCTTTCCCTGAAGCCTCACCGAGCAGACAGAAGGGTCATTGTCTCCACAGCAGCGGCCCAGGACGTGCTTCAGTCCCCACAGCAGGTGAGATCCCAGAGGCCCTGCATCCCTGGTCAGTGGAGAAACTTCCCTCTCGGTTATCATATCCTGCACAGGAGAGCAGCAAAGCTCTCGGGGCTCGTACTGGGGATTTGTGAAGCTCCTTCTTGCTTCTATTCCAGGCTGTCCTGTCCCTGAGAAAAGTATTCAGTTGCTTAGACACGTTTCCTCTTGTATACTTTTATACACTGACCCATGTGCCATTTGATTTCCAGTGGGTTTACCTGTGCCATGCACAGCCCACAGCTAGACCATGAACAAAGGATCACATGTTTTCACTTTTGCCCAAGTAGGTGGCTTTCAGTACTTGGAAATTCCATTTCAGCTACTTAACTATGGCTAATGGGCACTAAATTGCTACCATTTACAGCAATTATTGCCAACTCTAAAACTCTCCCGCATCTTTAAACTTCTACAACTCATTTCTGAAGACACCAGGGGCCCTGTGCTGTTTGCGCCAGCCAGCGTCAGCCTGCACCTTCCCAAGGACTTCCAGCCAGTGTGTGTTTTGCCTCATCAGCATTGGCTTCCTGATGAAGAGCATTCACGGTGATACTATCTTGAGCAGGAGCCTGATTAGTTGCACCTGAAATTGATTCAGATAAATTGTCTGATCTTTCAAAATGTTTTTAGAAAGGTCAAAGTCAAATTCTATGGTATGCATGCAGTAAATTAATTTATACTTTAATTCATTTATTAAAGTATATTATTTGTTCTTCACACCCTTGGAGTATAGCACATTATTGATGCCAATTCAAGGCATGACAGGAACTGCTCAAGATTATAAGACATAAAAGTTCTTTCTTTTCTTTACATTTAAAAATTATGTAGAAAATCATATATTTATGTTTGCAAATTTCAAGGAACCTGATTATAATGTAATAATGCTTTGGTTTCATTTTCCTTAGGAAGCAATAGTAAGTTCTTGGATTTTGTTCAGTGATGGTTCGGTGACACCTTTAGACATTTACGAGCCCAAGGATTATTCAGTTTCTGTCTCATCATTGGATGAAATGGTGGTGTCTGTCCAGGCAAACCCTGAGTCCAAATGGCCGGTTGTGGTTGCAGAGGGTGAAGGACAAGGGCCCTTGATGAAGTTAGAAATGATGATTAGTGAACCATGTCAGAAGACCAAGCGGAAGAGTGTTCTTGCTGTGGGTAAAGGAAATGTCAAGGTCAAATTTGAACCAAGTATCAATGAGCACCAAGGAGGCACCAATGATATTGAGGGCATAAATCGGGAATTTAAAGACCACCTCAGTAATTCCATAGAGCGTGAAGGAAACCAGGAGAGAGCAGTTCAGGAATGGGTTCAACATGGTGCAGCTGTTGGCCAAGAGGAAGGTACCAACAAAAGCACCACCCCACTGGCTCCCATGGAAGGAAAGAATAAGAAGTTACTCAAAAGTGGTGGTCCAGACACCTTCACAAGCTTCCCCACTCAAGGGAAGTTACCGGAGCCTAATAATCCCAGTGACCTTACAATGACCTCGAGGGGGTTGACGGACCTGGAGATTGGCATGTACGCCCTGCTCTGTGTCTTCTGTCTGGCCATTCTGGTCTTCTTAATCAACTGTGTGGCGTTTGCTTGGAAATACAGACACAAAAGGTTTGCGGTGAGTGAGCAAGGCAACATCCCCCATTCCCACGACTGGGTCTGGCTTGGGAATGAAGTGGAACTTTTGGAGAACCCTGTGGACATTACACTCCCATCAGAGGAGTGCACAACCATGATAGACAGGGGGTTGCAGTTCGAGGAGAGGAACTTCCTTCTGAATGGCAGTTCCCAGAAGACTTTTCATAGTCAACTACTCAGACCTTCTGACTATGTCTATGAGAAGGAAATGAAAAATGAACCTATCGGTTCTTCTGGCCCAAAGAGGAAGCGGGTCAAGTTTACTTCCTACACTACCATTCTCCCAGAGGACGGCGGCCCATACACCAACTCCATCCTGTTTGACAGCGATGATAACATCAAGTGGGTCTGCCAAGATATGGGGCTGGGGGACTCCCAGGACTTTAGAGACTATATGGAAAGACTGCAAGACCAGATGTAAACTCCTTTCTTATGTTTGTATTCACCTTTATGCCTTCTGTTTTTGAATGGGTGGAGCAGTGAGTTTGATCAGCAATAGGGGATGATTTAACAAAGTTTGATTTGTGGAGGTCTGGTGGGAACCCTTTCTAAGCAGGTGTCAGAGGTCTGGCAAGCTATAGCAGCTGAGTTTTAAGCCGGGAATAGCCTCCAAAACAGCTACATGTAGGGACTGGAGAAATTCTAAGGAAACAGTTTTATTAACTGCCTGGTACTAGCTCAGTGCAAATATAAATACTGACCCCACAGACATTGTTAGTCATCTCGTGACAAATGGCCATGTGGAATCAGAAAAGATTTGGGTGTTGATTTTTTCTATTCCTAGACCTTTTAAAGCACAGTGGACACTTATTGCCCTTGGCCTGAGTTCAGACATACATGAAAGATGACTGAATGTAGCTATCCTTATTTGTTACGAGCGCTGCTCATTATTTTTATATACATTTGCACCTGCACCTGTTCCTTTGACCTCTGGAATTCTTTTTGAAATACGAAGAGAAGAAATTTCAGTCTTTTCTTTGGGCTCTGTTTGATTTACATATGAGTTGTATTCACTGGGATTTGCCATGCCATGTTATTTCCTAGGTCTCCATGCAGGATGTCAGGTTTTTCCAATTCTCCACACTTCATTGTTGAGGGTCAGTATCTAGGAAGCTTGTTCTCACTTTGTTTTTCCTTTTATTGTTGAACTTTCTTGTATAAGACTGGGACAAAGGGTTTTACTTAAAATCTTAATATACTGTGAGGGAGGGCCATCTCTTTACAGTTTTCTACATGAAGTTTCAAATTTTGGAGAAAAGTTGTGAATCACAAACATTTATTTTTATTCTCTGCTTGTTGAAAATTCATGGGGAACTCTGGGTGTGTGTTTCTGGGGGCAAAGAGACCCCAACATAGCTGTATTTATAGAAGTGCTTTGTGGTCAGCGCGGTTTATGATCCAAATTGAAATCTAAAAGTAGAATTGATCCACACAAAAAGAAATTGCCTAGGACATAGCTGCAGATTAAACTTTCCTTTTTACAGAACAATTTTTAAAAAGTAAGTAGAATGATGTTTCAAGTTAGCAATATTTAGAAATCCATCCATACAATGACCCAAAAAGAAAAATTCTCAATCATGACTCTGGCAGAGATAGAACGTTCACAGGGTGGCATTGGCCATGGATTGGTGGAGAAAAGCAATGGCTTTCTTCCTGAAACCACGCAAATAAATGACTGTTCCGGAACGCAAGAAGCAGCTGTTATGAAAAAAAAGCTCTTGAAAAACCACAATGGCAAGAGGAAAAAAGAAATAATTCATACATAGTTTTAAATTAAAAATGTTATTTTAATAGCATTACGAATGGTCTTAAGCAAGGCAAGAATCTCAGATTAGCAAATGTGATATTTTCATTTGAGATGGTATTGTGGGAGAAGCAGACACTAGACTAGTATGCTTCATTATGAGCTTTACTGAGCCATTTCTATTTCTTAGAAATAGAATTTTAAAGTTGGCCAAAAGTAGGAAGGATCTGCAGGAGGTCACTGGAAGCAGTCCCCTGACTCCAAATGGCTGATAACTGAGCTAGCCAAAAGAGGTGTTCAGTTGTTCTCTTGTCATAGATCTCCATGGATGAGAACATGACAACCTAGCCTCCTCTAGCCATGAAGTGGCAGCCAAAACATTCTTCTTGTATCCCTTATTCACAGGACTGCAGTGTGTTTGTGAGAAGTGCTGAATTTGGAGGTGATGTGGGCCTGGCCTCAGAGGCCAATGTTCAGCTGGTTCTGTAAGTGTTTAAAATGGGGCTTAGGAACCAAAGCAGGTGAAATTCCAAACATCTTTCCTTTTGACCCAACGATGAAACCAGGAGGGCCAGGCGTTAGCTGCAAAAGGAGTTTGCAAGATGGCAGACACTTTCTGGGAAGAGCCCTTCAGCTAGCCACAGGCTCCTCACAGGGTTTGGAGGGAAGGTAGCCTGGGACCAACCTTGCAGGACTGAAGAAAGTTCATATGCTGATTGACACATAGTTGTCCAGGTGAGTCCTGCTCCTTCTATGAGATATTTTCAATTCTCTGTTTTTGGATCTTTTGCATTCTAGGAATAATGGGAATTCATCTCTGAAAGTGAAGAGCCTCCACTGAAATAGGGAGAAAATCTATCTCTTATACATCTGTCTCTTATACACAGCAGGGTTCTTCCTACTGATGAAGTGAGACTTCAGGTCGGGTGTAGTTTGGGAGGGAGAAAAGGAAAGTAACCTCATTATAGGGAGTGTTATTAAGTAATGTACAAATTAGAGTGTTCCTTATCATGAGAGTGCTTGATGGGTGCAGGAAGCAAACTGGGGAGCATTCAGATGTGCCAGTGGTTTCTCAGCAGTTCTGGAAACTGGTTATGGTCCTGAAGATACCTCTTGTGATAATTTAGAGTCACCTAGAGGCATAAAGCCTCTGTAAAGTCACCTTTGTCCATACGTGTTAAAAAAACAGTTCGAAATAAAAATCTAATGGAAAGTCATGGGGAGAGGTTCCCTCTCACCATAACCTACATTCAGATGTATATAAACACATATACGTACATATACGTGTGTGTGTGTGTGTGTGTGTGTGTGTGTGTGTGTGTGTGTGTGTGTGTGAGAATTCTGACGAGCCAGACAATAAACTATTTAATAAGAACTGACAGCAACTGTCAATTGTTCTCAGCTTTGGCATGGACGCTCTTCAGCATAACAGAATTGTGTTGAAATATTTCCTGCAGATTATATACCATGGGTTATATCACCTTGTTTTCCAACTAGACAATATATTAGGCAATAACCCCCAAAATATCTAACTAAAATGGGGGTAAAGATATAAACTATTAAACATTGAAATCTAATTTCCTGGGGGCTGTGCATTTGCCTGGATTTTCCAGGATTTTATGACTGAGATACCCAAATTATTAGTCTTGATAAATGTTTGTTGAGCCAAATAACATTTATAAAGTCCCTTCCTTTCCCCTGGGAATGGAATGCTTAGACTCACCCAAGGAAGACACCAGCTAGCTTCTTGAGAAAATACCAGGCTGTGAACTCCATGGTCACACGAAGGGAAGTTCAGAGGTGAGCCAGTGGCCCCAGGATCTGGAACAGTTGAAGATGTGCAACCACTGTCTCCAGGGTCCAGATGTGCTGCTTTAGAAGCCAGAGCACAAGAGTCGAGAAGCAGCTGCCACACTGACGAACGAGAGCCTCAATGCACAGGTGTGTTGCATGTCAGAGAAAGCAAGAAGAAAAGACAATAGAAGTTTATCCCAGAGGAGCAACATTTAGCAAACTTCAGAATACTCCGTATGTTCCAAGGAAATGAATCATTGACTTCCTAGTTGTTTTATATTGCTCGCTGCCCAGGGTAAATTCAGACTGTAATATTTCCTACTACCTAGACAGAAAGTTTCTATTTATAAACATTTATGCAGGGGGAAAATTGATTTTTGTCCTGTTTTCACATCTGTAGACTAAGTAATTTGTAACTTGCTAATTTTTTAGTTTTGGAGAGCTTGCCTTTGTGCATTTTGGTCAGCATTCTTGTTTCACTCTTAGAAAGTGGTCTTCCTGTTGAATGCCAAGGCCACAGTAAAAGTTCTGTTTACCAGAAGACTATTCAGTCTGGCAGCAAGTGTCACAGAATATGGCTTCATCAGAATCCTACATGTCATTGGCACTAATGTGTTTTCTACTTGGATCATCTAAAAAATGGTCTCAGTTCTCTATTCCATTCTCTGTCAATGACACAATAGATGGTGTATCGACTCAGCAACCTTCTCCTCCATTAAAATTATATATGTGGAATGTCATGCATATCATTCTTCATGTAAAGGGACAGTATGGATGGCGGAAAAGTTATGCTAACATGTGGATAACATATTTTTGTATGTAATATAGGCAATATAATGAACACTGAGAGGTGTGTTGGAATAAATACATTTTGAAACAAAAGCATGCAGAACTGTAGCTTTTAAATGTACAGACATACCACTCAAAAATATCTATACTGATGGTAAGAAAAACATTGGAACCTGACATCATGAAATGCACTGAATTAGGAATTCTGGCCAGAAAAGGACATGGCTCCTGTTGGGATTGTTGATGGAATCTGCCAGAACATTTTGATCTTATTCTTCATTGCTTTTGGATTTTTTCTTTTCTTTTTTTCTGGAAATATTTCAGAAATAAAGTGATTTCATTTTTCTGCATAAAAATATATTCTAACTACAGGATAACTCATCATTTTTAACATGAAAATAAACATTTAAACGTTCTTCATTTGTTTCATTATTTGACCCACATGTTCCCTACAGCATCTGTATGATTGGTTCTATTTGCAGATATATTTTGCTTTTCCGCCAGAGATTTTAAAACCCTTGATGCAGTAATAAAAGGACATCAAAAAAGTCTTAGAAGTTGCAAGCAAAATGCTTACTTTTAAAAAAAACTTCTCATTTGTTCTCCTAGCAGACTGGGGAAAACTTCTTTCCAGATGTTCAGAAAAAGGACTTGTATTTCTCATGTCCCTGTCCAGAGTCAAATCATTTTGAAAATCAGTGCTGAAATGCATGATACAGCGGGTGTTTGAGAGCCTTTGACTTCTACCTCCCTTTTGGTCTTACCGATGACTTGGTTATGTGTATTTATTGGGGCAGGGACTTCGTATGGAGTCAGGGGGCTGGGGAGCTGAGGTTCCCAGGCAGGCAAGAGCTCCAAAGACAAGAAAAACACAAGACAATTGAGATTCTGCTTTGAAGCCTGAGGTAGACATTTCTGCTGAAAAGGGAGTGCATTTGCCAGGTCCCCACAGGCTCTCTGTTGGGGTGGGTGCATTTCTTGAAAGTGTCAGTTATTTCTGGTGTTTTGGCAAGTGCTTTTAGGATGAATGGGGATACCTCTTTGGCAATATCTTAAACGTGTTATAATAAATGCCCCATTCCAAGCCTGGTCTTTCTCTAGGCCCTACAGACATCTTTTAGGTAACTGGATGTAAGCATAATGTTTGGCTCTGATATTGAGCCTGCAGATTAGCAGACTTTTCTGCCTTTAACTTGTTGGCAGCAAAAAATCCAAAAATACTCTCCCAGGTGTACAAACCCACTCCCATCAGAATTATTCCTGAACACTTTGGGTAATGATTTTCCACTGACAGCTTCCCCTTGTTTTTCTTTAAAACATAGAAGGACTGAGCCATAAAACACAGCCGGTTCTCCCTAGATCTCGGCATGCATGTATACAGTTTAGTAAAATCTGTTTCAAAAGAGGAAGGAAAAAAAGCTTGAAATGAGATTTGTAAGAGAATGAACCTTTGGATTTAGATTTTTTGTGTGAGTGCAAAATGCAAACACTGTATTCCATTTTTTTGGGTATTAAAATCCTTATTAATTGCCTATTAGTTTCTTTATGGTTTTATATGATTGATATAGGTTATGGAGTTTTTATGTTGTTTGCTCTTAAATCATTTTAAAAATACAAAAAAAGTGCAGAAACCTTCTAATCTGGGTTACCACGTTTATAGACTATTCTATGATTCAAGACGAATAGGACTCTCACTTTCCAGATGGGAGATAACAATTCAAGTCCATTAGGGAAATCATCTTCCCCGTCCAAGAAAGCAATAATATCATCAACTCATGATACTGGGCAATCTTTATGTTCCATGCGATGCCTTTAACATTTATTTGGGTTTAATTGCCGCTCTTGGTCAGCTGCTCAGATGAAACATTGTAGTTTTATGTTAAGAACTGGAATCTCTTTAGATGCTGCAAGAACAGAGGACAGATGTCCTCTTTATACATCCACATTGCTCACTGGAATAAAGCACTTTACAGAGAGATGGATGCTGCTTTGAAATTTGGGATCTATGTGATGCCGATTTTTTGGACCCATCTTTGGGATGACTTAAATCGCTTTTGACCTGACGTATCTTTCTTTACTTCCTTTGGTCAAAAGAGCAAGTGAAAACTTTCTGTTTTTCACATAAGGCTGGGGCTGAAATAATCTGCTACTTTATTGTTACCTCCTTTGTAGGAATCTGACTCTCTGAATGAAATAACACAAAATGCCAGTGTAGATACTGACCGTATGGTATAGTTACTTCACTTAGAGATGCTTCCTTAGAGAGTGTGCCTTTCCTGTCACAATCACTTTAGGGCCTCCATTTTATCTATGTATATTTCTGCACAGTATTAGCATTTTCTACTCCCATAAACATTGCAGACTGACAAGGAGCACACATCTGGCATTGAGAAGCACTTATCTGCCCGTGTACTCAGCACTCTTATTTCATTATCCTGGTTGGTGTCAGTTTCCACTGGGGACATCTGTAAATGTGCATTGGACCCACTGCCATCTCAGTTGCTCTGGTGCAGTGAATTGTCCCACAGTCACCAGTTCTCATGCACAGAGGTGCCAGGACTGGCTGATGGAAGAACCAGATCACCAAGGGACCCTCTGTAGTTATCCTCCATAGCGAGGCTTATATTGAGCTTTTAGCAAGGACACTCATTTAAAATTCAATGTGGATTCCGAGAACAAACCTACTGCCCAACCTTTCAGGTGATGTTCTAGGCATTCCTCATACATCATTGAGGGTCCGAGCAAACGCAAAAGCTGAGAGGTAAAAACTGAGAATGGAGAATTAAGTAATAAAAAAAGATCAAATCCAGGGAAAAACACTGTGAATGACAGTCACATCCACATAGTGAGTATTATGCGGCTGACCCGTGCTCTTGGAGGGAGGTCGTGTGTCTCTTCCCATGGCAAATCATTTTTACAATACTGCTTATCTATAATATATGTCTAAAGAGCATGCTGTTGTGTCAAAACTTCAATTTGTGTCCCAGCCGTCAGTCCCCAGCCTCAGACTCTTCTTAAGTGTGTGGGTCCGATCTTGGCTGCAGAACATAGCAAGTGGCCAAACCCACACAGTCCATCCATGTGTGTATTTTTGGGTGATTTCAAGGCAGTAAACAGTGGGAACAAGTTTTGTCTGGCCTTTGGGAAAGGTGTTATCCCTTACTTTCCACTTTTCTGGATTGGATTCTCATTCCCTGGTAAACACCAGATATTATAAACAGAGCATGCTGTTTTAACATTGTGCTTCTATATACTTTTTTTGTATAATGTATCTATCTCATGATATTACCCATGGTTTCAGTATGATCTGTTGTATATGTTCCACGGTATATTTAATGTCTCTGTAAAGGCACTTCCAAACATTTTGAAAACGAAGAAATAAAACATGTTGGATGATTCCTTGTTATAGTGAAACAATTAATTGGTAGGTTCCAGGAAATGATCTTTTCTTCAAATAGGGGTTCAGAGGAAGTTACTAAGAAGTCCTTCGGTCCAGAGTAGAGGCAGCTATGTCTTCAGGGTATTGAAGACAATTACGGCCTTTGACCTTGAGAATTAGAGAAAAGAATGACTTAAGTGTGAGGGCAAGATTCCAAGAGAATTAGGCTTGCTCTTGAGCCCCGAGAAAACACTCTAGCAAAACGTCATGGGGAACCCAAGTCTTGCCAGTCAACTTCCCTACACCAGGAGGGGACCTTCCAGAAAGCTCGGTGGCTCAAGCATGTCTGTAGCTGACACAGAGATTCTTATTGGAGGTCAAGAAAAGTCCATTTTTCTTTAAGGCTTACAAAGTTGAATTCTCATGAGGGAAAAAGCTTTAATCGGATGTGTCTTTACCAACCAAAGGGAAGTAGTCAATTCTATTCATAAAGTTTGAGTTGTAGGAAAGCTCATTTAGGTACCCTAAAATCCAGCTCGTAGTCTTGAGATGTGTTACATTTAACACCATGACAACCAAAACATTTCAGTGTGTTGAGTCTCCACTGCTGTGGCAAATTTTGACCAGATAAGGACTCTGAAATGCCACATTCCTCCCCTCTCCGGAAAATTGTTTTTGATGACTGTGTTGCCTAAACTAGAGTCTGCATGGTTGACGAACCTCTGTTGGAATTCAGGTTTAGAAAAGCAAATGCCCTCCCAAGACTGTCAGGCTGACTTTCTCAGGCAGCTGGGCCAACATCCATGCTCCCTAATTACTTTTATGGTTATAGGGGTCTGTGGCAGCTTCTCATCCCACGGCATGATCAGCACTCCTCTAGGCTTAAAGAGGTGTTTACAGCAACCTCTTTTCCTGCAAAGGACAATAACTTTATGAACAGAGAATGGCTGAGCTACAAATGTTTGTTCTGTACCTTGACTCTCTTTGAAACAAAGAAGTGAAACAACTCAAGAAGTTAGCATCTCCGAGACGTTTGATGCCACTTTGGAGCAAAATTAACCTCCAGGTAAGTTTCTGTGGTGGACTGGACTGAACCTGGCCTGAGCAGCACATTATGGAAAATCCTCCTTGGTCCTGCAGTTCGTTAAGGGTCAGTGCTGATGAAAATTGATCTTTTGGTGCTGTAAATTTTAAAATGATGCTTGCCCTAAAAACAGTTTAAGGTGAACTTGTACGTTGTATATATAGATATTCTTGTTTTAAACCTGCAAGATTAATAACAGATGATATTGACATTGACATTCCCTAGGAGTATCATTTAGTTCCATACAACACAGGGGGAGTTTGTATTTCTAGCATTTCTTTCTTTATTTCCCAAAAGTCCGAGACCATCTGTGACCTAGGAGCTCTCCAGTGCTCCTTGGAACAGGAATCAGAATGTATAATTGGAGTTTTACAGGTATAGTGTCTGTTAATTGGATGACTAGTGCCCTTCTTGTGTGTGTTGACAAGGTGTCAGAGATGGAAGAAGAAAGATATGGAAAGAGATATTAATGGAGGGTCAGAGCAGAGGCCATATTATGGTTCATCACTGTTACCATATATGAGTCGAAGCTGCCTTGGAAGGGATTCCTCCTGCTTAATCAGAAATGCTGACCCTCAGAGCTCACCTGGGTTAGTGAGTAAATAACTGCTATAAGCTTGAAGGTGCTGTACCTGGGAGCTCATCACACTAAAGAGGCCTTTGGTTCTAACCTTTCTTTCCTCAGGAAGGCTCTGGACTTCCTGTCTTTCCTTAAGTGGTCTGAAATGGAGGCGTGATGTTGCCAACCTACACCAACCCTATGGAGTCCTAACCCCACATTCAACTCTCAGATGCAGAGAAAACCACTAAATGCAAAGTGATTACGGATGCCAGCAAGAATTACTATTATGCCAACTTTATTCACTGTTGATTTTAGAACCTGTAAAAATTTTATGACATTTGAAAACAATTCATGGGTGGGACTTTCTGACTTTCCAAGAATTTCTGAAGGCATACAATAAACACCAAGGAATTGTAGTCAATTGTAAAGAGCTGCTTAAAACAGGAAAATTCAGAGAGAAAATAATCATTTTAACAAAAATGCATTTCATGTGTACAGGATTGCATCACAAATGTCTGATATGCCTTGGAGTGGAATCTTTGGGTGCAAGGGTGTTTGTGGAGTCTACGGAAGCTTTGAGGGAGCCCTGGTTCTGGGGACCACTTGAAATTTTCTTCATTCTGGGGATGTGTGAGTGTTCAGAGAAGACACAAGCCATAGGGGACCTACTGGTAAATGATGAAACCAAAGCTACTCTTCAATTTCTTTTAGCTGCCTTCATGATAATAAACCTGTCATTGGGAGATTATTAAGTACTTTTTAAAAAACCTTCTCATTAACTTAGTCTGCAATTTTTTTTAGAAATTAAGACCACCAGTATGCTTTATTTACTATTAACAAAATTATGGAATAAAGCAGAAAAACTCCAGGTTACTTTTCATGTCCAGGGGACTATAACCATTCATATGAAATAGCAAATCTGAGTCAAAAAAACCCTCTAATTTGGTTTATGTGACAACAAAGCATCAAAAACATTAACTTGGCTGGGCTCAGTGGCTCAGCCTGTAATCCCAGCACTTTGGGAGACCGAGGCGAGTAAATTGCCCGAGCTCGCGGGTTTGAGAGCTGCCTGGGCAAATTGGTGAGACCTCGTCTTTATAATAAATCAAAAATTAGCCGGGCGTGGTAACGCGTGCCTGTAGTTCCTGCTACTTGGAAGGCTGAGGTGGAAGGATGGCCGGAGCCCAGCAGGTAGAGACTGCGGTGGCCGGGAGCGTGCCACTGCACTCCAGTCTGAGCGACAGAGTGAGACTTCAACTCAAAAAACCAAAAAAACCAACAAAAAACATTAACTTTGTATCATGTATCTGGCAAAAAGGGCAATGAAATCCCATGATGGCTTTTCCTGGTACTTTGAGGAAGAGGGAATTCTGGCAATTAGGGACCAAAGCCCAAACAGTATTTCAGGTTGAGGCAGCAGCGCAGGCAGAGGAAAATGTGTTAGAGTCTAGCTGGGTGAGGAAACCTTACTGAGGAGCTCAGACTTTAGACTGATTCCTGTGGGGAGAGGAAAGAGATGTGGTCAACAGGAAAGAGTTGTGACCTGAGTTGCATTTTAAAAACAAACATAAGCCATATCAACTGCCCGGAAGGCTCTAGATTTGGGCTGATGTGCTGAGGTGTCTCTTACTCCAAAGAGTTTATGGTCATCTAGGAGGTGGGTGCTGGGGCCTGTGTCCCTAATTCTTTTAATTTCTAAATAAAAAACAAGCAAGCACTCAATCAAACAAGCAAAAAACTATTGTTGGAGCACTTGAGCTGAGTAGGTAGATTCGAAGTAAAGAGTATTTGGCTTGCACTGTAGTTAACACTTTACCATAGCATTTATCCAAGAGTATTGTGATTAAGAAGCTTGCCTAGATCAGATGTTGGAATAAACAAAAAAAATCATTAAAAAAATTCCATGACCATGTTATGCTTTGGGGAATGCTTTTTCGTCTTGCCCCTTTGAGATTTTCAGATCACATTTGAGGCTTTAAGAAGTTTGGCTGTAAAGAAGCATTTCTTTTTTCTTTTTTTTTTTTTTTTTGAGTTGGAGTCTCACTCTGTCACCCAGACTGGAGTGCAGTGGCTGCTCCCGGCCACCGCAGCCTCGACCTGCTGGGCTCCGGCGATCCTTCCGCCTCAGCCTTCCGAGTAGCTGGAACTACAGGCGCGCGCTACCACGCCTGGCTATTTTTTTTTTTTTATTTATTGTAGAGATGAGGTCTTGCCAAGTTGCCCAGGCGGGTCTCGAACCCGCGAGCTCAGGCAATCCACTCACCTCAGCCTCCCAAAGGCGCGGGATTACAGGCTGAGCCACCGAGCCCGGCATTTCAACATTCCCTAACTCTTCTTGGTCTATGCATTTCCCACTTTTATTTTCCTCTGTTTTTTTCCTATTAGTTATTTACTAATTTAATTCTTCTACCTATTTTTGCCTAAAACCGATTAAAATTCCACTAGATGACACCACACGCTTTGAGGAATGCTGCTGCAGAGTGTTCTGTCAATACTGTTAAAAATTCAGATTTGACTTGATTGTCAGCCTCAATAGTCTTTTCAGGAAATGAAAATACCCATATGGAGAGAGTCTGGGACAAGGCAGAGGGGTGGATATGAAGTAACTTTAGAGGAACGACACCCTGGATGATCCCATGGATTTTTTGCTGTGCTTAAAATACGTATTTGGAATCAGGAAAGCTTTAGAATTCAATACAAACCACAAAACCCACCCAGAAGGGAGGGATGGGTGGGAAGACAGGGACTTGCTCAGCCTGAGAAACTGTGGGCCCTTTGGAAGCTAAGCAAGGTAAATAAGTTAAATGCTTTTATAAAAATATATATATTTTTGTACAAGAACTAATTCATCTCATACTGGCCCAATCATTAAGGAGACATTCACATGAGAAAACCAAAATCAGAGAATTTTACTTTGGTTTACTAAAAGAGAAAAAGAAAAAACCAATAAACAAACAAAAAAAACCCACGTTTTTTTTTTT